ATATTCTCAAAATTCGAAGAAAACGGCAAATGCATCTTCCTGAATTTTAGAACCGATAGAGATTTTGTTTCCTCTTTTGGCAATGACGTTCTATAATAACAGACAGAAAACAAAACCTGGTTGTATTAGGCCTTACTAGAGAACATTTTACTACAATTATAATATTTTTCCACATTAAGAAAGCAACGACGGAAAATCTTTAAAATGTGCTCACAACTGGTAGGTTTCTTTCTCGTCAGATCTTTTCATTTGGTAAATTGTTGAGATCAAGGGAAATATCTCACGACAGTTTGTTTGTTAACCATGCTTTGAATGATGACGAAAACACGAAATTATCATGACGGTGACAACAGCGCTTGACTGGTAAGTGAAGAAAACGCTTCAATTATCTTGCTTTAACTGGTCGACAATTAGTCAATTACCACGACAATAATAGCTTTGTTGAGTGTACTGCCTCCAAGGTCGGAGAGTTTATTGATGTGGAACATATGAAATAATGGAAGTCAGGGGCGCATAGTTTCCATGGTGAAACGTCAATAAGTAAACGATTTTACGGTTGGCCTAGAGCGTATGCTTTTTATGAGTTTATGATGTGGTTGAGAAAACAACCGGCAAGACTCAACGCTCCAACATGTACGCTTTAAGTTGTTTGTCTTCTGGAGAATGCTGGGCTTTTACAGAGGAAAGGGTTTTAATACTATATCCAGGTTGTTCACTAGTTGTGCCAATCCCTGTAGGTAACATGCAGAGTGCTATACACGCCGGGGTTGCTTGATCTGTGAGGTCACTGAGAGTTTTGGGACCCGAGTAAAAAAAAAAAAGAAAGAAATACACGTACGTGTACGTATTGCTTCAGTCCTCGAAATCCTCTTCTTGGGAATATTCTACCTTACTATAATGATATCTACACGAGCATACACATTCCTGTGTGAATGAGTTATCGTTAAACAGGTCTTCGAAACATGCGATCACATGCACAGTGCCCGCAGAGAAAACTCTCGCTGATTGGAATATATAGTGCAATATAGTTACTGAATGCTTGTTGCAAATGATTTTGAGGACCTCGGTCCTCAAAATCAGGGTAGCCGTGACAGCATGACGGTGGCTGGAGAAAATGACTGTGGCAAAAAAAATAGTAGCATTGTTGGTTGCCTTGAAGTCGTTGCCACCAGCCCCAAGACGAGTGACGTCATTGAGTTGACACATCTGTTCTCTCTTGCTGCTCTGCCAGAGATTGAAGGAGCGGCATCGGATATCGGCCTAGCATGCGCAGCTACAGTCAAGCACGCCCTCTACCGTTAGCCTCTTGATGTGGTGGGGAGGATGCATCGCTGGAGGACACGCCCATCAGGACCATGGAAGGTGTGGTAGGCTGGTATTAGGCCGATACCTCATTATGTTGCCGATTTGTGGTCGTGTGGATTAGGTGTGGTAGGCTCGTAATGAAGAGGCCGTGTTACAACTGATAATGTTGTAACCAACGGATAATGTATCACCAACCGATAAAGTCACAAAAATTGACCAATACTGTATCACTAACCGATAATGTAACAGAAATTGACCGATAGTGTAGTAAAAATGTACTACACTATCAGTCGATTGTCGGTCTTACCCGATAATGTAACAAATGTTGACCGATAGTGTAGTAACATTTACTACACTATCGGTCAATTTCTGTTAAATTATCGGTTAGTGATACAGTGTCGGTCAATTTGTGAGACATTATCGGTTGGTGATACATTATCCATTGGTTACTACATTATCAGTTGTAACAGGCCGATACCTCACTAGGTCGTCATTCGGGCACAGTTTCTCCATTGTACTGGTTGAATCTATCCTAATCCGGCTTGTGTACACTGCAGGTTGATCCCCGCACAGCCGGCCAGACACACACTTAGGCCGGACACATACAGCCAGTCCAGAGAATCCCAACTTCTTAATCACAGCATTGACTCTCAGACGAAGAGGCTCTCTTCTGGTAAACTTTCGGCCGGTTAAGCCTCCGATGCCTCAAACCAATTCATCTTGTCCGGCAGTAAGATGTAACAAGATTGCTGCCACCTCAGCCAGCCAGGCGGGCAGGAGGCGTAGAGGGCCTGACAGACTGGTAAACTTATGAAGATCAAAACAAGCATCGGAGAACAACTTGCTATAATAAACCATGCCGTGCTTGGTATATTGATAAAGATCAAGACACAACTAAAACCAAAATGTCTGAACACTATCCACTCCAAATGTTATCTACATTGTAGAATATGACAACCTTTTAACAAAGAATACATTTTGCAGTTGCCATTTCATTCTGCAGTTCTTGAACTTGCGTCAACAAACACGTTGTTGCTATGATGTCTTATTTCGGATCTCCAAAAGGAGACAGGCGCGGCGTTAAGAATTGTACTCATTTTATCTGTGCTATTATTTTCAAGTAACAATAAATTTGTTGAAACTCTTGACAATGTATAGTTTTTACAATGCAAGATAACTATGCAAGATACACGGTGAACATTTTAACTACAAGAACTCAATTTTGAAGCACACCACCAAACATTTCAGTAACTGCAACATAGTTGTACAATAATTAGAGTTCAGTTACATTTTGTGCAGTCCTCACTAGCAAAATTGGAGCATTTATGCATGGGTGCAGTGTTGCGACTTAGTGTGCATATAGATACGGCTCGGCCCCGTGCGAGTGGTATAGCGCCCTCTGCAGCCCTTCAGAGGAATTTTACTCAGCATGTAACCTTTGGAATACAATTATGTTGTTTTAAGCATTTAAAGTGAGTACGTGTACTTGCGAAAAAAATGTCAAGTCGGTTTACGTGTAACATAAAAGAATACTATAAAAAAAATATATGGCGCCAAATTCATTGAGTGCTCCTAGCCTATAGGCGCTTTACACATGGTTAAATATACTCAATACTTAACACATGGTTAAATATACTCAATATTACTTAGCATACATTAACAATGCTAACGTTACACACAATTCTTTAGAATATCGATTGAACATTGTAATAAATTACATCGATCATATTGCAACATAACAACTAATTGTTGTCCTGAATCAGCCTTCTGAATTGCTATACAGGGTGAGTAAAAAAGAAACGAAACTCCAATGTCGGGACCATTGTTTTAGTGAAGTTCTAAATGTAGCACTTTCAAAATCTAGGATATGAAAGCCCAATTCATAAGCTTTTTTTTAGTACAAGAATCATTCAAATCACTTATGTTCTTTTCAAGTTACGGGCTTTTAAACACAACCACCGTTTTAAAGTTCTGTCCACGGATCACAAAAAGGTTAGTGTTCTTTCAGCAAAACGAAAACAAATCACAAATGGATGTGTGTGAATTGTTTTCGTTTTGCTGAAAGGACGCACACCTTCTGTGTGATCCGTGGACAGAACTTTAAAACGGTGGTCGTGTTTAAAAGCTCGTAACTTAAAACGTGCATAAGTGATTTGAATGAATCTTGTACTAAAAAAAGGCTTATGAAATGGGCTTTCATATCTTAGATTTTGAAAGTGATACATGCAGAACTTCACTAAAACAAAAGTCCCGACATTTGAGTTTTGTGGGTTTTTGACTCGCCCTGTATTTGTCAAGATTACGATTGTTACAGATCTCACTGAGTTTCGCAATTCTTGACCAAAGACATCTAAAAAGTTAGAGTCACAGCTCTTTTTATCTGAAACCAAAAAAAAAAAGACTTCTTGGTCCGGGAGTTTTGCCGATCGAATACAATCGGGCCTCTTTGGTCATTCAATCATTACACAGAATGAACTTAGAATTTGAAGATGAAGTATGTCCTATACGCCGATCGAACGGTCATGACACGAAAAGAATTGAAAGCGCGTTGTTCGTGCATTGCCAATTCCTTTTTATTTTCAAGTCAAAATGCTTGCTCTTTCTTGTGCTTGTTGTGGATTTGTTGGTTCCGAGAAAACAACCCAAAGAACTCCACTTTTCGGTCGGTGCACTCTATAACGTCAGTAGTCATATATAACCTGGAATGCGGATACTATGACTCCGTGCTCCAACAAGAGGGCGCGTTTTTACCACTTTTGAGAGCCCCGTTAACGGGACACACACTCAGACTCGGATCCAAAAAAAATGTTAATACAAAATTCATGAAAACAAAATGAGGAACCCCCCCCCCCCCCTGCTTTGACACCCACATTTTTTTTTACTGTTAATAATATCCGCCATTGCACAAAATACGGACAGAGCCAGCTTGGTAGGGGATATATGTACACTATTCTGTGATATTCAATTCAATTCAATTCAATTCAATTCAATTCAATTCAAGAAGACATTTATTCCACACCCCTTTAGAAAATACATCCATAAAAGAAAGACTGGTAAATAGCAAAATAACAAAATCAATAAATTTGTCTCAAAAATAATAAAAGTAAAATGCGCTTTGAAGAAATGATAAACTTATTTCAATATATGTACAAGAGAAAGTAAGGAGTATGGGGCTGTGTAAGTAAGCCGAGGCTTGTAGGAACAGCCCTTACAGACAACACTAACAACAGAAAAACAACATGATAACGACACACGGACGAGACAGACAAGACAAAAGACTTACACTCAGATATAGCGATATATCGTTAATAATCGTCGGATTTCAACAGCGCCCCCACTGAAAGTATGGTAAGAGCGTGAGGAGGAGCACTATTATTTTTAAAGGCCAGTTTTCCGTATGAGAGGGGCACAATTTTAATGTTGCGAGTAGTGCACTAATAAGAGTGTGCTTTCGAGGAGCAGTTTTCCACCTCGAGAAGTTATCGCGAGATGCACTATTGTTTTTTCGTTGGCCAATTTTCAATCTCGAGAGGGGCACAATATTTTGTTATTGCGAGAGGGGTATTTGTGCGAGGGATAGTTTTCCATGTCGAGAAGGTGCACAATTTTGCTAATGGGAGAGGGGCACTTGTGTTTTTGAGGGGCAGTTTGACTTACAAGAGAGGAGACTATTTTATTTGTAGCGCGATTATATGCTTTTATGTGTGCGTTTGAGGGGCAGTTTTGTTTTCATCTCGAGGGGGCACATTTATAAACGCGAGAGGGGAACTTTTGTTATCCTGGAAAAATCTTGGGGGCAAGTTTCCCCCCCCCCGCCCCCCCCCCGGTTCCGCCGCCCCTGTTGCAACTTATTTAGGAACTCATAATTTCCCACGACAGATCTACCATGAAAACAACAATGTTTAAGTCTTTGTTTTTTAAATAACGAAGAATACATTAATATTCGTTGTTCACACTTACTTTTTACAACCTCTTGTTGGTACATGTACATCTAAACTTAACTCACTTTGGATGATGATGTTCAAAAATTAAAAAAAGAAACAGTCAATGTTCGAGTCCAATGAAGATGACATGAACAGACGATTTCAACTGGCATCCAGATTGTATGTTGTTCATCCCGTGACAAAACACAAATACGGCAAATTTGAGATTGAGATTTTAACCTTAAACTCAGCTACTTCTAAAACAAGGCATCGATGTTTGTGAGTTCCAATCAATCAGCAGTGTATTTATAATGTTAATGCGTAATAAGGTATCAGTGTATTTCCAACAGTAGTATAGTGTTCGTCCGAGCATTGACGGCAAGTGTTCTTTCGGTGAAATATTTTCACAAATTAAAAAAGTAACAGTTGTCGGTTGCCTTGAAGTCGTTGTCATCAGCCACAAGACGAGTGACGTCATTGAGTTGACACATCTTTTCTTTCTTGTTGCTCTGCCAGAGATTAAAGGAGCGGCATCGGGGATCGGCCCAGCACGCCCAGCCACAGGAAAGCAAGCCCTCTGCCGTCAGATTCTTGATGTCGTGATGGAGGAGGCATCGCTGGGGGACACGCCCATCGGGACCGGTGAAGGTGTGGTAGGCTGGTACCGAAGAGGGTGTCATCTCACAGGCAGCAAATCGCTGTCTATTGCAAAGTGTCTTATCGACCCAACGCCATCCTTCGTAGGTGGATATACGGGCGCAGTTACGTTTATTGCTTCTGCTTGGGTAGCGCGGATGCCAGTTGGTGTATTGTGCAGGCTGACCATCGCACAGCCAGACACCCTCTTGAGCCGCATCCGTACAGCCAATCCAGAGTCCACCGGTACCTTTTACCAATGACTCCCAGATGAAGAGGTTTTCCTCCCTTGAATTGGGCACAATCATGCTGCCTCCTGGTCGGTTACAAGCCTCCGAAGCCTCAAACCAATTCATCCTGTTAGGGAGTCGGATGTAGCAAGACTGTCGCCATTTCAGCCAGCCGGGCGGGCAGGAGGCTTGGAGAAAACTCCGGTTGCTGACTAAAAGTAGCAAGAAAAGTATCAAGATTAAGTTCTCCAGAAACCATGACATGCTTTTAAGATGGATACAGCAGCTCTGACGTTGCCCACAATTTTTTCTTCATACGAAAACTGCAGGCAAGAGTCACCTCATTGTCATTATGCCGTTACCATGACGAATGGCTTGTGTTAAGACAGCGTGATAATTGAACTACGTTTTGATTGGCATTGTTCAGAGTGACAAACGGCTTGTGTTAAGACAGCGTGATAATTGAACTACGTTTTAATTGGCATTGTTCAGTTTGGGGCCTTTATATAAAAGGTATTACAAAATGAAGCAGGACCGTATCAACAGAATAGCTTTATCACTGTGTTCTCTTATCATGGCAAATTAGTCCATAATGGGGAAAATATATGTGAATTTTACCCCCCCCCCCTCCTTCTGATGGAGAATAATATTTTAGCTGATGTGGTTTGCATACAGTCAAAGTATTCGAGTTGGAAAAAAATATGTAGCTCGCTGCATTTAATAGGAAAAAATAGCATGGGAATAAAAGTACATGTTATTGACTAGTTTTACTGTGAAATTTCCACGTATTAATTTGCATACTCTATTTTAAAACACAAATTATCCCAATTTTAATAGAAATACCACATCATTCAGCTGCCCACCATTGGTCATGTACCGATACGCATTGATGAATACCATTTTAATTACAATGCATCATGGGGTTTTCCTACCTCCATGAATAAACGAAAAATTGCAAAGGGAAACAGACAAAAATTACCATCATCATTTAAGAAAAACAAATTGATTTGTTTCTCATACACAAAACACAAAATCTGACATAATGATTCAGTCTTGACTTGGATTATTAATAGCTCATTTGTATATATCGGAATGCCTGTGTGATAATTTCTGGTACTCCGCTCAATAGCTTCAAAGCATTTAGAATTCCTTGGACAGCTGTAAAAAATAGGTTCTTTTGGTAAAACATGCTTAACTTATGGATCGTTTCAGTATAACGCTGATTCGTGTTTTTTTCACACTGATGATGCTCGTTTAATGCGCGCTTCTTTGGTGTATCCAATTTAATTTGCTTTTTAAGGGGAAAAATCATGAATTCATGTCACTTTCTTTTTGACTCGCTCTGTACAACCCGTGCCTCTTGTGTTTTACACTTTCCGGTTTCCGGTAAAAGATTGTGATTTTTGCTGAAAATGTCTCATACCCAAATCCTGTTTTTTCTTAGCATTTCAAATTCTCTGCTATTAGATCATTTTGTGGTTATGAACTTGAAAGTTTGCAAAATAAGAAGGGTGAAAGCCGTGCACACGGACTGTGAGCTTGTATTTCTGCGAAATTTTTATGAAACTTTGCCTTAAAAGTGATCTATTTTGCAAGGCATCATTTTGCAAAATGGCGACGGGCATCAGGATTTTTTTTAGGGGTTATCATCTTTGGATGGAAATTTTTTCAAAAAGTTATCAATATAACCTCCAAAAAATTAACATAAAACGAAGATGATGAAATACGCTTTTATTTGATGCGTGTCTCGAACACCTTGGAGAGTTTTAAGCATTTTCCCTGAATTTCTGAAGTGAGGGCATTTTTTATCGCTGGGGTCTATGGCAGTTTATTTACTGCTGGTCTGCATGCATGTCAGTGCTGGTTGCTGCTAGGGGTGCATACCACCAAACGGCTGTAAATTACTGCGCGCGAGCTCATGAATATGTTGTGATCCCACGGGTAATTTTGAATAAGAGGTCCTGGCGACCCATGATTGGTATTGATTGTAAACAGATTTACAACATGTATGTAAAATCAAGCATTTGTGACTGGTGGCTTCAAACTCAGACGATTTTGTTCGAAAAAAAACCCAAACTTGTGGGTCTATTTCGCATAGAGGGGGTGGGGGTGTCTAGACTTAGACCTAGGCCCAGGGGTTGGCAACCTAATTATGGGGTTGTTTTGAGAGAGGGGATTTTTTTGTGGCAACCTCTTGTAGAATTGAATCGAAAATTGTCCTACGCTCTCAAAACGCTGGTTAAAATTCTGTTGGTTAAAACAGTTTGTTAAAATGATCTTATGATTTTTTTAAAACCCAATGAATGTCCCCTTCAAAAAAGAGGTCCCACCCCGACCACCTAGCAAATTGGACCCAGTTTAATACGCCACTGCATGAGTTCGATGCTCTTACTCTCTATATCATCTGCTCGCACTCTCGAAATATTGCAATGTCGCCCTCACAAAACAAATCCTTTTCGAGTAGTTCTGTCTCGGACCAAAACGTCAACTTTAATTATGCTAAAATGTAAAAAAATATTGTTCTCTACTGGCAGTCAATGTGCACAGACGTCAGCATCCTACTTTTGGTTTCAATAGGTTTCGAGGAATAACTGTTTTAATAATTAGCTCATTTTTTTTCTCCTACAAGTTTTTGTTTCAGATGTGAATGGAGTAATGGTTTTTGAATAGATACAAAGTAGAGAGGGGAAGATGTGATAGCTATTTGTACGGTGACCTGTGAAACATGGTGACGTCATCAAAATTGAAATGAGAATCAAAGAAATGCAGCGGTCCCTATCTTTAATCCTAATATGAAACACGCGCGATTAACAACAGCTGTTTGGCGAACAACGTTAACGTTACGGCAAATTATGTGCGAACTACTTGTCGTACGTTTAACTCCCAAAACAAACTGCGCGTAAGCTTGACCGTTAAACTTGAATAGCGCCCTCAATCAACCACAAGTACTCACACAACAAATCGTCATTGCACACTGTACAATTATTATGTAACCATATACAATTCTTTTGAATCACAACAGCAAAGAACCCTTCATCTACTCCTAATCTTAATATGAACACATGTAATAAACAGGAGCTGTTTCGGCGAACTAAACGGCTAACTATAATAAAACGGTGAACTCCTTTTTCCTGCGTAGGTTTGACCGTTAAACTTAAATAGTGCCCTCAATCGACTGAGAGTATCATCACAAATAATAGCCATTGAACAATGTACTCGGTAATAAAATATTCTTTCCAATCAGTACAGTACCAAGGAATTTGAACACATTGGACGTTACACTTTTGACAGCGCACATTATTCATGCATTTGGGGTTTGATCCTTCGGAAACAACGCTTCGAGTCGCTCGCGCGAAACCGAAACCTCTCCATGCAGTCTTACAACAAGCCAGGGATTGGGGACGACGCGCCGTACGGTGAACCGTAGTGGCCCGCCGCCCGCCGCAGCTTTCGAAATTTCTGTGGACAGACACTTTGAAGACCTTTTCGTAAAGATGACCCCCCATGCTCTTTACGTACCTTTTTCTTGTAGTTTTCGATTTGCATCTTTTGTTTTAAAGAGAAATATACTTTTAGTCCAATTAATGGCGTCTGAATTAAACCCTCTGAAAAAGGAGTTTCATTTTTCAATTTTTTTTTCTGGGCACATTTTTAACATGATTTTATCATGAGTTTGTTTTAGTGGCATCCATCAGTCACACATTAAATGTATAACATGCGGGCCAAATCACAATGTGTATACATTTGTATTTCAATTCTTTGCTATTAACAGTGGCGGTTCCCCCCCCCCCAATATTTTGGCTAGCCCCTCCCTAAAAATAAAAAATTCCATTAGCAAAAAGAAGGAATGTGACGTACATGCGAACGGTCTCCCCCTAAAGAAATAGTCGTGACAGGGGTGCATTTGTAGTTAATATAGTATGCCTGATTGTAGGATTTTATTGGGGCTCCCTATTGATAATATGGCACGAGCCCCGCGTTATTATCACTGAGGTCTATGAGTCGATTTCCAGGTCTGCACCCATATAGACACATAATGAGAGGCGTCCTTTCTCGGATTCCACTGGTTGTTATACCGCATACTTCGCGTAAATCGATATTAATTTTCAATCACTCCCAATATCACAGAGCCTGATTTCCTGAATTTATTTTCCCCATTTGTTACATTACGGTGAATAGTGTTCTAGCGGTTCTAAGTGCGTTTGTCTTGTCGGGAGCCTAAAATTAGGTTCTGTTAGAAATGAGAACCGAAGAAATGTAGCGGTTCCTATTTTTAATCCTAACATGATACACAGGCTTTCAACAAGAGTTGTTTTGGTGATCTCCGTTACCAAAACAGCAAATTACGCGAGAACTACTTTTCGTACCTTTAACTCCAGAGACAAAGTGCGCGTAGGCTTGACCGTTAAACTTGAATAGCGCCCTCAATCAACTTAAAATAACCACAAAACTACTGATCGTCATTGCACACTGTACAAATTATGCAATCTATACCATTCTTTCGAATCACGACAGCGACGAACCCTCTTTTTCTATAATCATCCTAATATGAACACACGAAATAAACAGGAGCTCTTTCGGCGAACTACGTCGCTGAAACGGTTTATTATGGGCGAACTACTTTTTGAACGTTTAACCCACAAACCAAACCTGCGCAGGCTCGACCGTTAAACTTAAATAGTGCCCTCAATTGAGAGAATCATCACAAATAAAATTCATTGAACAATGCACTTGGGGTTATAAAAACAATTCCAATCACTAGGGGCCTACGGTACCAAGGAATCCGAACACGCCTCACATTGGGCGATACACTTTTGACAGCGCACATTGTTCATGCATTTGGGATTTGATCCTTTCAGAAACAACGCTTCGAGTCGCTCGCGTGAAACTGAAACTTCTCCGTGCAGACTTACACCAAACCAGGGATTGGGAACGACACGCCGTAACGGGCCCGCCGCCCGCCGCCCGCCGCCCGCCGCCCGCCGGTGCGGCTTTCGAAATTTCTTTGGACAGACACTTTGAAGACCTATTCGTAAAGATGTTACCCCGTGCTGTTTACATACTTTTTTTTCTAGGCTTACTAGTTTTTGATTTGCATCTTTTGTTTTAAAGAGAAGTGTACTTTTATTCCAATTTAGGGTGTCTGTAACCCGCTGGAAAGGCGTTTCATTTTGCACATGTGTTTAAATCTGGGCACATTTTTATCATGATTTTATTATGAGTTTATAGTTTAGTGGCATCCATGACACACATTAAATATATAACATGCGGGCCAAATCACAATTTGAATGCTTAAATTATTTGCTATTAGAGCGTTTTTACTGTACCTTATAAATTCTCGACTATAGGGAAAAAAATAAGGGGATCAAGAAAAACAAAAAGTTATGTGGTGTTGACCAAGCATTCAGGGGTCGCGATTGGTTACCGACTCCCATATAGTACTCTTCCTGGGTCTCGGATTCCCCGGCCCACCACACCTCCTTCCCTATCCATCCATGTAACCCCGGAGGGCCAAGCACCGTTAAGGGAGGAAACGAGGCGACACCCTATGCCTTGCTGCCGAGACAGCAAAAGAGCCCCGTACCTATGAGTAGATGCATAACCTGGACTTCGCAGACAGTCCCAGCCGGTGACTTAACTCATGGAGCTAAGGTCGGTTGGTGTTTGACGACGCGAAATTAAGACTCTTAAAGTAAATGACAGAGTGTGTGTATTGAAAACCAAAAATGACAGGA